GAAGTGGTAGAGACAGGGGAGAATGGAAGAGGCGTCCTGCTGATGTGAATGCCATGAGGAAAATGGGGAGCAGGCCCACATGAAGTAGGTGAAGAAGGGGGAGGAAAAGGAGGAGGAAGAAAGTGATGGTAAAAAGAGATGGAGAAGAAGATGAGGCTGAGGCAGTTACAGGCAAATGGGTAAGTGAAGATGAGGATGACGATGTTGATACCAAAAAGTAGAAAAAAAGAAAGTTTCCAGGCGCCAGTGGATCACGCCTGTAATCCTAGCTACTCAGGAGGCAGACATCAGGAGGATCATGGTTCAAATCCAGCAGGGGCAAATAGTTCACGAGACCCTATCTCGAAAATACCCATCACAAAAAGGACTGATGGAGTGGCTCAAGGTGTAGGTCCTGAGTTCAAGCCCTAGTACCACAAAAAGAAAAGAAAAGAAACAGTTCAACTTAAAAAAAAAAAAAGGCCTCCCTTTCTTCCTCCCTCCACTTCTGGTCTCAGAACCTAACCTTGTAGTAGAAAATTTGTAACGGGAGGATTAATGAACCAAAATTTGTGAGACCCTCCTTTTTTTGTTGTTTTTGTGTTTTTCTTTCTTACAAGTACTTTGTAAAAAGGAAATTTTAAACAGGGTGATGGTGCACATGTATAATCCCAGAACTCCAGAGGCTGAAGGAGTGGAGTTCAAGGCCAACCTGGGGCTACAGAGCTAGTTTGAGGCCAACCTGAGCTATACATTAAGACTCTGCCTTAAAAAAAACAAAGAAAATTTGCATGCCTTTTTAATTTATGTTTTATACTTTTGCACATATTGTTAGGGATCAGCCATTTTTGATGATCTTGGATAACCAATCCAGCTTCCAAAGTGGTCTCTGTCCTATCTCTGACTTTACTGGAAGTATGACCAGGTTCACACAGAGGAAAAAACAAACAAAAGCCAGGAGTGGTGTGCACCCTTGTAATCCTCGCACTCTGGAGGCTGAGGCAGATGGATAATGAGTTTAAAGACCACCTGGTGCAGAGATGCTCTCTGGCCTGCATATCTTTTTCAGGTGTCACACAGAAGGGTTCCGGGTGACTTTGGAGATAAATACTTTAACCAAAACCAAGCATGGCAATTTGATTAAAAAGAAAATGGTACCAATTGCGGAGGCTAAGTGTAAGGTTTTGGCACTCCTTGAGTTTTTTCTCTAAGTTTTGTTTCCTCAGAATTTTGGGACAGTTTCTCTACTTTCTGGATCATTTCCCCCATAGTTTTGTGATGTTAAAAGTCTGTTTAGCTTAAATATTCAATAAAAAAAAAAAAGCTTAGTCCTTGGCTTGCCTACTTCAAAAATGTAGCATTTTCCTTCTCCATGACCCAAAGTAAACATGTTCAATAAAGTCATTGAACATTCTATTGAAGTATCAAAGCCATAAATTTGGTGGATTTGGCAAAGTGGTGATTCAGCAAAATGGCTTTTAGTACATTTTTGTTAAGATTATTTTATGTCAATTACCCATTCATTGGCTTCATATTTCCCCCAAATAAGCTTTAGCTGCTGCTTGCCTTTTTCTCCCACATCACAGAATTTCATTCAATCACCTGTAACAATAGGAAGACCATAGCCACATTTATTGAATTTTTACTTTGTGCCACCTCTAACCACTTTTCAAGCAGATATAAAACCCAGAGACCTCTAGGTTAAAATCCTGCACAAAACTGAATTATTGTGGTCAGTGATCATTGTCATTTGAATTTGAAGTTTTTGAGACTGGACATACATAATCTATCTCCCTACCCCCACCCCCCAGAGTCTCCACACCCTACGGATTTTCTCTGCCTCTCTCCTTAATTCAGTGCCCTGAGGACATTTCTTTTGGTAATCCCTGAGTTCAGAATCTCACATTATAAATGCAAAATAGGACCTACTAAAGTATCTCAAGTGGTAGAGCTCCTAACTAGCAAGTACCAGGCCCTGAGTTCAACCTTCCAGTGCCACCACTAATAATAATAGTAATTAATAATAACAACAACAATCTTATAATCCTAGCTACTTGGGAGGCTGAGATCAGGAGGATCCCAGTTTCAAACCAGCCTAGGCAAAAAAGTTAAGAGACCCCATCTCAATGGAAACAAGAGGATCGTGGTCCAGGCCCACTCTGGAAAAAGGTGAGACCCTGTTTCCAAAATAATCAGAGCAAAAAGGGCTGCAGGTGTGGCTCAAGTGGTAGAACGCCTGCCTAGCAAAGGTGAAGCCTTGAGTTCAAACCCCAATATCCCCCTACTCCCCTCCAAAAAAAAACATGCAAAATATGCATTTGTATTAGGACCTTGTCAGGCTGTCTCAAATCAGAACTCCTCAGTGTAATACCGACACCATTTATGATCAGGACCCTTCCTGCCTTTCCAGTCTCATTTTCCCTCACTCAATTTCACATTAGCTTATTTTCTTCTAGACACACACAGAGAAACAACAAAAGAAAAACTTGCCCCCGATTCTCTGGACACACAATGCCCTGTTCATATTTTTTAAAGTTTGTTTAGATTGCCCCTTCTTATCCCCCCTTCCTGTGATCCTGGAAAAGTCTGGGGCAGAGGGTTGCTTTATCTCAGCATACCACCTCTTGATGGGAATCAAGTCAAGAATAGCAAGAATATTTGTCACATGGGGCAAAGTTTCTTTGCAGCAAATAAGGAAACCATAGGGAATCACTACCAAAGTATGACTTCCCAATGCTAGGACAAACTGCAGTTTATTTGCACAGGGAATGCACACTCAGGAGGAGAAGGCATCATTATATCCATGATGAGGATGATATGGTGCAGATGGCCTGACAACAGGCTTCCACTGGGTGGAGATTTTGGTATAATGAAGTAAAGGTCAGCCTTTGGGCACTGGCACTTGTTCTTTAGGGTAACTTTTGGAATTTCATTGCTGAAAAACCTTAGGGTAGCTTTTGGAATATCACTTCTGATTTATTAGAAAACCAACCTTATTTGGAAGTTCAGGGTACTGAATGGGAGAGAGTCTGTATCTTTCTGCTGGAGAAAAGCCTGCATCCTGCTTTCTTGGGCTGCTTAATGGGAGAGACATGGGCATCCTGACTTTTCCCCTGTCCTTCTACTAATATGTCAATTCTACTTTCTCATGATGCATCATATATCCCTGTCTCTGTGCAAGATCCCATTCCATGAGGTGAGGCTGATGTGCAGGGTGTGAAAGATTTCACAGAAAAACAATTATTGAAGTAGAAGCAAAGTTTTATTCACTTTTCAAGACTTCCAAGACAGGAAAGAGGTATTAGCCCATAATGAGGTTAGGGCTGGTGTTTATAAGCATTTCACATGTAGAAGAAATATACTGTTGACATCTTCCTGTTGTTGTTTTAAAATTCAGCTAGCTGTTCCAGAAATAAGCTAGGGTGATTAGTTTCTTAATGTTTTGCTAAGGTGGTTGTTTGTTAGCTTGTACAATATTTTCTGTGAAACCATGAGGTCAAAATGATGCAAATGGGGTTCTGCTTGAATTCAGAAAATGTTTCTGTAAAATAGCCCCAGACAAGCTGGAGTCCTTTACCAAATGGAGTAGGTTAGGCTAATTTGAGTTGGCCCCTACACTCTGGAGTATTATTTCCATTGAGCTATTTGTTGATTTTTTTTTTTTGTATATCAAATGCCACAGGTTTTTAATCATAATTTCTTAAAGTGTGTCACCTGATGAGCCAATGATATGGGGGGAAAAACTCGTACCTTATTTTACTATATTTTGCATATATCAAATAGCCATTAAAATTGAAATTTAGTATGGGCTCAACGCTATCCAGAGTGGTTTTTGTTTTGTTTTGTTTTTTTCTCGGTACTGAGGTTTGCACTAAAGGCCTACACCTGTGTCACTATACCAGCCCCTTTTTGTGAAGCGTTTTTTGTAGATAGGTTCTGGGGAAGTATTTCTCCGGGCTGGCTTCAAACCGCCATCCTCCTGAACTCTGTGTCCTGAGTAGCTAGGACAGCCTGAGCCAGGAGCTGTGGCTGAAAGTGTTTTCTTTACAGATTAACTCACTTAATTCAGCCCAAAAGCCCTGAGGCACGAATTAACACATCCCTCCCCTTTTTACAGATAGGGAACCTCTCTTACAGAAAAAAACAAAAATAGAGCCAACTTACACCCAGACAGTCTGTTCGCCAGATCCTGCTGGGCTAAGTTTCTGTCCACCTTAACTAAAGAAGAGGAAGAGCGTTATTTTCACAGTGCATAGCCCAGTGAATCGCAAAAATTAGACTAGAGAGTATCAGGGTAGCAGGGAGAACCAGAAGAGAAACAGACAGTGTTCTGATAATGAGGCAGGGGGAAGGGATGGCAAAATAGAGAGAGAAAACTTAAAGAACTGAAACATGAAGAAAGTCACATAGCACTGGGGAAATGAAATAGCCAATAAAGTCACATGCAGCCACAAGTGGACTGAGCTTTGCTTTTTGCTTCTGTAATCTTGCAAGGGTATATGAAGTGAGACCTCTTTGTTCTTGGGGTTCAACCTTTGGACAGGAGTGGGCTGAGTCTGTGTCCACACAATAAAACGTTGCTTCCTGCTAAACTGCCTCAGTGTCCCTATCTCAGCTTGAGATTCCAGCAACATCAGTACTCCATCTTTAGCTGAAACTCAGGAAAGTGACACTCAGAGAAGGGTGTCCACTGCAAGATGACGACCAGTCCAGCAGAGACCGGGTGTCAGGATCGCAAAGCCAGGCCAGGAGGGCAGACAGAACTGACAGAATCCCTACGTCCCGGAGTGGGCGGGAGAAGCGCTGGCTCCGCCCCCGCCCCACCTGGTGGTGTCCAGCCGCATTGCTGGGAGAAGCTGCAGCGATGGCGCCGGTTGCAGGCGACGCAGCCTATTTCAAAAGGGGCAGTCTGTTCTGGTTCGCAGTCATCACCGTGTCCTTTGGCTATTACACGGTAAGGACAGTGGCCCAGACACGCAAGGGACCGAGCGTCCACCCACGTCCAAGCCCGCGCCCCAGGCAGCAGCGGCCGCGCAGGCGCAGTCCCGGCTCCGGGCAGGCGGGGACCGTGTGGAAAGAAAGCGCAGGCACGTTCGTGGGCCGGGCCCGTGGGACCGTGGTCCCGGCCCTGAGAAACCAGCTCGGCAGGTCTTCCCACGGCTCTCCATCCGACAGCTCTGGGTCTAGGACTTTCAAGATGGTAGTGGCCAAGTCGGAGGTCGGCAGGGACGCCGCCGTCTACTTCCGCACGGCCAGACCCTTGCCCTCGCTGGTCACAGTCTTGGCACTGGGATACGTCGCGGTGAGGCGTGCGGGGGGAGGCGCATCGCCCGGCCCGGGATGCAGTGGGAAAGGGCTTTCTGTGCGCACGCGCCGGGCGGTTGCCTAGGTTACGGGTGTAAGCGGAAGTTTGGTGGGCTCCTAGGAGACCTCTGCTGCAAAGTGCTCCTGCCCTGCCGTCCTTCTCCCTCCGACGTTTCTGAGGGGAAGGCAGCTGATAGACCGCCATAGGCATGTCAGCTCAGGGTGAGGCGTCCGAGCACAATGTCTGAAGCAGTTGGAATTGCCCAGAAGAGAGCTTTACAGAGAACGAGCGGCTTTTGTCTAGCTGACAGTTTGTTTGAATAATAATTTGGAAAGTAGATTGGGGGCTAGGTTGGTATGATTACGAAGGAAGGCAGAGCTATTTGGATATTTCCCAGGAGCGCTTAGAGATTTGGTATTCGTCCGACCTACAGTGTTGGTGAATATGTGTAAAGTGTGATCACCTCTGTCCTGGTTTTCCCATACTGTAAAATGGAGGCGTTCAAACTGAAAATTTTCTGAGGTGTATTTCTTTCTGTTCTTTGGGTCTGCGTTTCTGGTTATTTAGAAGACAGAAGGAGGAAAGCTTTGGGCACTTCAAATCGGAATATTGTAGAGCTGGCAAAAACTGCCTTTTCTGTTCCATTGGCTTTGGAGGGCACAGTGGTAATTTAGGCTTTATTTTAATTTCATATGTGAAACAACATAATGAGAGAAGTAGTATTGCTTTTGACAGACCCAAGTAAGACAATAAAACCTGGAGCTGTCAGCACTTGTCTCAGAAAAACCTAAACTAGCAGAGTTTATAAGACAGAGACAGATGTTGATAATTTTAGAACAGAAACCTTGCATGATTAAGTGGTTGCTACTGAAACTTCACAAACCCCATCTCATTCCCAGTTTTAGAGGAATGAAACATAAAAGAAGAAAAAGGAGTTCTAAATTAAATGGGGAGTTTGGCTCAAGCCATAGTTTCTGCAGTAAGAAGCTAGCCAAGCACATAAATGCTTAAATGACTGTTAATGACTGCTGTAAAATAGTATTTCTGCTGACACTTGGTAAGAAAAAGTCAGCCAACCTGGGCGCTGAGTCTGATAACCACAGTTTCCTCCATATAAATCTCCCAGTTAAGTTTCTTTCTTTCTTTTTTTCACAAAGAATCTTTATTCGGCTCACAGTTCTGAAAGCTGGAAGTTCAAGATCGGCAAGTGTTTCTGATGAGGCTGGTGTGGGAATTCTCTGCAGGACATAAACAGCGAGGCAGACGCCTCCTCTTAACAAACCGATGGTCTCACATAATTATATGTTATATGAGTAGATTACATATATGCAAAACCATTTAATTTTAGTCCTCCCCATTCTGGCCCCATTTAATCTTTTTTTTTTATTCATATGTGCTCCCAGTTAAATTTCTTTTGGGAAACAAAAGTCAAGAATGGAGGACCAGATGCTTTTATAGAGAGTTTCTTTGATTTAAACTATAGAATTAGTATTATTTCATAGTTGGTCTCAAAACTATGTTACCTGAACTTTTAAGTTATTCTTTGTCTCTGATTCTCTTTCAGTGGGTTGTCCTGTGGCCTGAGAGCATTCCTTTTAAGAGCCTTGGGCCCCTGGGCTCCTTCACACAGTACTTGTTGAATCACCATCACACCCTCCTCCACAATGGGTAAGGGGAGCTACAGAAACTCTGGAGGCCTCTAACAGTGATACTAGTTCACATCAAGAAACCTTTCTTTTTAAGGTTTCTGTGTTAGATTTCACCAGCAGACCACTATCGCTTTAAACTAGGCTGATCTTTTTTTTTCCTTTGGTTTCAGGTTTTGGCTTGCCTGGATGGTTCATGTGGGAGAGTCCTTATACGCCATGGTATTGTGCAAGTAAGTCTTCATAATAGGTTGTGTCTCCTTTTTCTTGGTATCTAATACAAGTCACGAGTAGCCACATTTACATCATTCATACAGTTTTTGCCTGAAAGCCCTCTCAGGGAGGGCCTGAATCCATATACCAAATACTGAACCTGGCCCAGAGGAAGCGCTCTGTAAATGTTTGATGAATTAATACAATTTGCTTGTGTTCGTAAATCAATTATTCACTTACTCATTCGAGATGACTTTTGTTATATTTTGAAAAAACTGTCTAGCCTCAACTGGAACAAAAGGTTTGGAGTCTGTTTTCTTTTTACTTTTTGGGGGGAAGGGAGTGATTGTGGAGTTTGAACTCAGGGCCTCTCACTTGCTAGGCAGGTACTTTACACTTGAGCCACACCCCCAGCACTGGAGTCTATCTCCTTGTTTACAGAAGAGCAGTTTTTGAACTATGCTGATGATGCTCAGTCCTGGTTTCACAACTACAATCACCTCAGGAACTTTTTCATAATACTTGTGTCTGGTTTCCAACCCAGAGATTCTGATCTGGCAGGTCTTCCTTCAGACATGGACTGCATGAATAATTCTGAGGTACAATGTTAAAAGCTCCCAGACCAGACTCCATACTCAGGAGATGCCAGTGTTGGTTAGGACTGTGTGAGAGTGCTAAAAAAAATTCTCTTCACATTTGTACTTTATGTGCGTAGAAAAGAAATCATGGTACAATGCAAAAGACTGTTATAGTAATGTGAAGTGGCTTTGCAATTAATATTTCTGTCTGGTCAGGATTAACTACTGCTTCCATTGTTGTTACTTCTGAAAGTGGACAATATAGCTAATGTTTCAATAATAAAAAGAATATTGATGGGGTGCACAGTATGCCAGACACGGCAAAGTGCATTCCATAGATTGTTCCTCTGTCTTCTTATTTAGTAAGTAAACTGGACTTTGTATGAGCAAAGCAGAAATAAACCTTATTTTTTCTCACCTCTCTTCAAGTAAATTCACTATGTGGATTGTCTCCACCCTAGCTCTGGATAAAACTTAAAGCAGATCCATAGTTTTTCTGGTTGCTACCTAATATTGCCCAGTCTTATCCAGTCTGTTTGTTAACGCTGTAAACTATCTTCTAATTCAGACTGTATACTGTCATTCAGCTGGGACTCAGGAGCCTGTGGTAGGAGAGAGGGTACAGTTGGTGTTCTCTCTCTCATTCCACTTTCCTCCCTTGTTCATGAGCCACAGTGGCTTGTGGCCAGGAATTGTTAGGGGAAACAAGTAACAGTCTTAGGATGAGGCATCTGGGTACTGTGTATGTTGAATACTCAGCCTTGCCCCTTTTTCTCCAGATGGGTTTTGGTGAAGTGGAAGGAACCACCTATCAATATGGATCTCTCTTTTCATTTCCCTTGATGGCTCTGCCAGCACTCCATGTGCACTTTTAACTTTAGGGTCTGTGTTGGGAAGGAATTGCCCTTTTATTGAGATCACATCTACCTTTCAGGTAGGCTTTTCAGACAGGGTTCTTTTTAAACCCACCTATGTCCAGTCTTGTCCCTTGTACAAGATCTATGTGAGTCATGAAAAACACCTTCCCTTTCCTTTAGTGTGATAGTCTGCAAGTATGTGATTTCCAGTGCTGTCAGGTTTCTTTGCTTTCACCAAGCAGGATAAACCAGTCTTTGTATTTTAGAATCAGATACTAATCCTTTTGCCAAATCCCAGAGGACCCATGTCAGTCTCTCCAAGTAGTTCTGTTGAAGCTGTTTCCAAGCTTGACCTGTATGACATGCTGAAGCACCCTGGGATTGCATTCTGATTTCTGATGGCCTTTTCAGCTTCTCTCTCTCTCCCTCTATCTCTTTCTCTTTTTTTTTTTTTTTTTTTTGCAGTACTGGGGCTTGAACTCAGGGCCTTCACCTTGAGCCATTACACCAGTCCTTTTTTTTTTCTTTCTTTTGATGGGTTTTTTCGAGATAGGGTCTCTTAAACTATTTGCCCAGGCTGGCTTTGAACCACTGGATCCTCCTAATCTCTGCCTCCTGAGTAGCTAGGATTATCGGAGTGAGCCACAGTGCCCGGCTCAGCCTCACATTAACATCTTACCTTGCAGGTGTTTGGTACAACCCTTCAACTTAGAATGCAGGAGGACCTGACTCCTATTTTGTTATTGGTATTTGGACCCTCTAATGAAAACCCAAAGACTCAATTTAAGATTCTGTTTTGTGGTCCTTTGAAGAGCAGAAAGAGAATGGGCGTAGAGAGGTTGGGTCAGTCTTACACTCTTCAAAATCATTTTTTTATGCTTTACCCTGTTGAAATGTATCATGAAGGAATGCCTGGGCCAGCCTCAGACCAAGATCCTTCTACCTGTGTGTCCACATATCTGGGATTACAGGTGTACACCATCATGCCTGGCCCTCTTTTTTTAATGTGTGTTGATTTTTTAATTCAATAAGCAACATGTACAAAACAATATCCTGGGCTTTAGATAAATACAGAAATTATCTTGGAGGAAATAAGCAGATTGCAGGAAATTAACAATTACTTAAACACCTTCTATGTGTCACTTTAAAAAGGAACATGAATATTTAAGATGCTATTAATTCCAAGTCTCCTAAATTCCATGCTTAAAAATACTTTTTTTTGGTGACTTCCTCTTAACCAGAGTTAAGATTGAACAATATTTTTGACAGTGTAGCAATCACATATCATAATATTAAGCATTTTGTCATTTTTTTTAAATTTCTTGGTAAATAATTTAAAAATTTGCCTACTATTCCTGTTAATTTTATATTTCATAATTTAAGTAAACTTCCTATAAGGAATACTGAATTTTAAGCTATTTCTTCATCATTATTAAGCAATACTATAATGAATTTCTTTTTTCTATAAAATTTTTGTGTTATTTTTCGTTTTCTTCCTTATGCTAAATTCCTAGGTAAGGAATGGCTTGAGTGAAAGATCAGAACGGCGCCAGGCTGGTGCACCTGGCACCTGGGACACAGGGCAAGAGGATCAGGAGCTTGGGGCCTGCCTTGGCTACTAGTAAGACCCTGCCTCAAAAAAACAACAAACAAGAAAAAGAACAGTTTTATAGCTCTTGATACTTACTACAAATTCACTTTTCAGTGGGATTTTACCATTTTTGCTGGCATTTTATGAGAGTGCCACTTTGTTATGGTTTTTGTTTGAAATGGGGTCTTGCTAGGTTTCCCCAGGCGGGCTTTTAACTGGTCATCATCCTGCCTCAGCCCTCTGAGTACTGGGATTGCAGGCAGGCACCACCATGCCAAGCAAAGCCATTTGGAAGAGAAGTGCCTTGCAATTTTGATATATTTTAAAGGGAATCTAGCCATTTTAACTGCATTTATTTCATAACAAAAAGGACAGGACTCTTCCTTGAAAGATCTCTAGCAGTATGGTTTTTGTTACATAATATTTTTTTAACTTTAGGGGGTTTATTTTTTCCTTTGTTCTTTGTTTTTTGTTTTGTTTGCTTGTTTACATGATATTTTAACCAAATAGTTAGAAAGGATTTTTCTTTTTTCTTTTTTTTTGAGGGGGGGGCAGTACTGGGATTTGAACTCAGAGCTTTGTCCTAGCCAGGCAGACTCTGTACAGCGTGAACCTAGAAAGGTTTTTCTTTATAGACAAATCTGATCTTAGCTCTTGAGGCCAACATTGATGTTTATTATTACCTTTTTACACTCTGGAGTTTTCTATTGAAAATACGACTTGTTCCCTGAGTTCAGAGTAAGGTCCTCACTGCTGTGTCCCATTTGTTGCACAATTCTCAAAAAGGCTTTTCAGGTCCTGCAAACATTGGTTTTGTAGAGTGGATTTGATTAGAAAACAGAAACAGGAGAGAGTTCTTGGCAAGTGGAAGCAGTCTGTGGCATGGCAGCCCTGGGTAACTAGAACCAGTGAGTCATGCAATTTTCCAGTATCAAAAATGACATTTTTTTCTAGGGCCAGGTAAAAAGATCTTCACAGGCAGATACTCTTACTGTAGCTGGGTCTTGGTGGAATGGTTTGGGGAGATGCTAATTGAATTAAGAAAGCCTTCTCAAATGACTTTTGTCTTTATAACACAAAATGTGGCTGGCCAAGTGGCTCAAGTATTAGAGCACCTGCCTAGCAAGCAAGCATGAGGCCCTGAGTTCAAACCCCCGTACCACCAAAAGCAGATAGATAGATAGACAGAAAGACAGACAAAATGTAGACAAGAACAAGTCATGATGACCCCAGGAAAATCCTTCCCATGGTAGCCCAGCCACCAACTTTGACCCCTCCAAAGAATGGAGAAAGCAGCACTTTAATGCTTGAGCCTCCAGTTCCCAGGTGGCAACTAATCTTTCCAATGTATCTTACACAATTCTAGGATCACATACACTTATTTTCCAAAATATTTTTGTTTTGCTCATTTCAAAACATGTTTGCTGTTGAAAGTTACACACGTTATACACATCAGAAATATGTCAAATTGAAAGTGAAAGTTTCCCATAATCCCACATAGTCATGATTAAGAGTTCAGTGCATATCATTATAATTTATGCATTTGTAAAGAATTTTTATATACATATATAACCTCTTCTGTAACATTTTCCATTGTCTTATGTGTCTGTCCATGTCTATACATATAAATTTACTCCATCCATTAATATTAGTGCACAGCAATCTATTGTGCAGATGATATGCTTTTATATTTAAGAAATTCTTCCTCCAATTGACTTTTTCTTTTTTTGTTTTTGTTTTTTATTTTTTTTTATGTCCAATCGACTTTCAAGTCTCTATATTTTTTTATTTTTATAAGCAGTACTACAGTGAATGTGAATTTCGTTCATTTGGCCCACTTTGGCATTTATTCCCCTCAGAGTAAATTCTTAGATGTAGAATTTAAAGATTAAAGGATACCTATGTTAAGAAGGGGACTATTTGGGAAGGAGAAAGGATCAGTAGAACAGAGAGTTGGGAACAAGAAAAGAGGGGTGGACATGATCAAAGTATTTTATATACACATATAAAAATAAAATAATGGAACCCTTTATTTTGTATAATTAATATGTGTTGATAATAAACAACAAAAAAAGAATGACTACCTTTTTTTCTGGTGGTAACTGGGGTTTGAACTTAGGGTCTCACGCTTGCTAGGCAGATACTCTACCACTTGCACCACACCACCAGCCTAGAATGAGTACTTTAAATTTTGTCACATATTACCATGCTCCCTTTAGAACTATGGGAGTAATTACATTTCTAACAAGAGTGTTAGTGTTTACTTTTGATAAGGAAAATTGATTGATGTAGTCCAATTTATTAATTTTTCTTTACAGTAAAGCTATGAAGATACTCTTTTACAGTATCTTTTGTTTTAAAATTTTGCCTTTCACACAACTTTATGTACCTAGAACTGATTTTGGTGTGTTTGTTTTCTTGAGAGAGAAATTTCCAACTTCACCCTTCTCCATATGGATGCTCTCTTATCCCAGAGCCACCTGTTAGTACATTCCCTCTCCACCAATGTCCCTGTCTTACAGCATATGAACATAGGCTTATGGCTGTGCTTCTGAATTCTTGGATTTGCTCCATTGGTCTGTTAGTTCTCCAGCCAGCACAACAGTGCCTTAAAAGCAGGAGCTTTATGATCTTTGATAGCTGATAAAGCATGTGTGTCCTCTCATCTTTTTTGTTCCAGAGAGTTGCTTGTGCCTGGTCCTTTGCACATCCTTATACATTGTCATGTGCTATGAAAGCAAAAAATAAACTGTTGAGATTTTTATCGTCTTGACCACATGAATTAATTTAAAGAGAACTGGCCTATTTTCATTACTGCATCTTCCAAACCATGTAATGATCTGTTTCTGTATATTTAGCTCTCCTGTAATATGTCAATAAAGTTCTATAATTTTAAAAGATCTTACACATTCTTTGTCAGGTTAATGTCTAACTATTTCTACTTTTAGATGCTATTATAAATGACTTTGTCCTCATTTTCTAATTATTTGATAGTAGTATGGATAGATATTGTCACTTTTTATTTATTGACTGATGCCCAACAACCTTGTTAAATGCATTTGTCAATTTTAATAGTTTGTCTCTAGATTCTTTTCAGTTTTCTAAGAATACAATTATGTCTAGAAATAAGACAGTTTTATTTCATCCTTTCAATTCTATGTGCTTTTTATTTATATATCTTCCCATATTGCACTGGCTAGTATCTCCGGTAGGGTTTAAGAGCAGTGGTGGTAGTAGACTTTATGCCTGGTTCCTGATCTCTAAGTAAAGTTTCCTACGTTATCATGTAACATTGTATCATGTTTATCCTAGAGTTCTGTAGTTCTCTATCAAAATTAGGAAGCTCCATTATATTTAGGGTTTTGCTGAGAAGTTTTATTAATAATGGATGTTCAAATTTATCAGATGTTTCTGTATTTATTCAAATGTGTATATGATACTTCTTTTTTAATCTGTTACTATAGAAATTTTATAATTTTAAATATTTGTAAGTGAAAAGCCATCCAAATGAGTCGTTTATATGCAGATGAGACTGTAGCAAGATTCGCTTTAATTGGATCATTTTCTTCTGAGTTTTGTCTTAGGTGGTTTAATTTGAATGACTTTATATGCAATTGCTTATTATTACCATGTGCCAGACTCTTTCTTAAGCACTATTTGTATATTATCTCATAAAGCACATCAAAACTTGGTGACATAGATACTACTGTTCCTATCTTCCCAATGAGAAAATTGGTTTTATGAGATACTGAGTGATAAGCTGGTCACAACTGATGGGTAGCCAAACTCGAATTTCCTCTGGGTTGTCTTCAGAATGTTTACTCTGAAGCCATACTAGAACTTTTTACAGCATCCACTAGTCAGAAGTACATGAAAAATGATTTCATAATACTGTACCCCAGACAGCAGCCAGACTGCTTCTCAAAGAATAGTGTACCATCTGAGATGCATTTGTAAGAAAATAAAAAGAGAAAAGATAAAAGTTCCAGAGGAAAAGCAGTAAAATAAACCCATTGGAAGTAGATGGACATTATTTTTAAAAAAGGCAATTCCCCTCACACATACACTTCATGGTTTCTCATGGAACCATATGGTTCCATTTTTAAAATTCTGGTGTTTAAATTTTTCTCTTTCATTTTCAGGTATAAAGGAATCACAGACAGCCAGGCTCAGCTCCTCTGGTTCCTGCAGACATTCTTCTTTGGAATAGCTTCTCTCTCCATCTTGATTGCATACAGACCAAAGCACCAAAAACGCACCTAAAGGAGACAGCAAAAGCAATCTACTTTTCCATTCAATCTGTCCTTTTCTAGGAGGTGCTTCCTATTTTCCAGGCAGTACCTATCCTACAAAGCTGTTGAATTCTTGTGGTTACTCATCTTTCTTTCCTGTGCTCTGGTTAAACTTGAATAGACCAGTTGTTACTGAAGACAGAAATGAGAAAAGATTCTGGCTTTCTGCCTCTGCAGACGCCCCTGTTTGGCAGAAGGCTTTGGGCCACCTTCCTGAAGTCTTGGTTGTGTTGGTATTGGGTGGCCATCTGGCTAAGGCTCATCCTAAATCTGCTTGTTGGTTTGTGTGCTCCTGCCTGATTAACACCTCCCGCTTTCACACCACCTTCTTAATTCTCCTTCCCCAGTTTTTTCCCCACCTTTTGGGACCAAGTTAAAATAACACTTCCACAATACATCAGTTCCACACACATTTATTAGGCAACCTAGAGGCAGGATCTTATCCTCTCAAACTACAGTGAAACATAAGGAAGACAGATAACTAAGAGAAAAACAAGGAAGTCATGCAAGTGTCTGGCCCAGGGCCAGCTGAGTGATCACACAGAGGCCCAAAGGTCCTGCTGAGATCTGGCAGCAAGGGTGGGGATGTCCCCCCAATGATGCCAGCCAGCAGTGAACCCACTTACATGTGGCTCCTGGACACGGTGCTCTGAGCAAGCTGGGGCCTGATGGTCACTGCTGTGTTGCTCCTTCCATCAGGCCACAGCTTCGATCACTTTCCTTTCCCACTGGCCCTGTCCTCGGCTCCTGCTATCAGTGGTGCCCCTCTGTTATTGATCAGAGCAGGGAGCCTGATCTCTTTCACTTTTTCCATGTCATTCCAGTTTTGTCATGAAAGCAGCTGAACCCGGTCAGTGCACACTCATCTCAACAGAAAAGCAATAGATTGCCTTGTCCTGGTATTGCCACTTCTCTGTGGATGCGCTATGAGAAACCTGGACCTTTTCCCCACTGTCTGCTCTCAGTCTCTGTCCATCCAGCTCTGGCTTCCTGAGGCATCCAGCATTGCTATTATGGAGACTCCAGTGCATGGGCTGACCACTAGTCACTTGCCTCATTGCTACCGACTGGTGAGGAGGAGGCCACCCTTCTGCCTGCTAACCATAGCAGAATGATGTCAGCCCTAGGAGTCAGGAGGGAACACCTGCTTGTTCCCTGGAGAAAATTCCTCACTTCCCTTCTGTGATACAGCGGGACCAGTTGTTTGTATTAGCAAGTTTTTATGAGAAACAACTCGCCCCAAGTGAAAGCACTGCCCTGGAAGAGGGTAGGTTTTGAATTGGTTTTAGTGGAGACGAAGTGTGAAATGCATCTCAGTCTTTCCTCTTTCTTTTGTGATTAAAGGGCTGCCTTTTGATAACCAAAAAAGATTTTTGGCCATGGAAATTCCAGATTTTTCAAAAAATGGCCCTCTTCAAAGGCAGATTATCAAAAATAGAAATTAACTTTAAAACATTAATAAATAAAAATAAAACATGAAAATGCAGAATATCAATGAAATGAATTAAAATACTGTGAGTTTTCTGTCCAATCAAATGCTTTAGATAGATAGATAGATAGATTTGTCAGTTTTGATATGTTGGCCACATTAGATTCTTTTTCTCAAATAAACTCTACTATGGGGCTGTTTCTGCAGTTTAAATGTGGGTTTATATTTCACTGATAAAGAAGTATAGGCGTTGGGTGTATCTCTGTGGTAGAGTACGTGCCTTGCATGTACAAGGCCCTGGGTTCCATCCTCAGCACTGAAAAAACAAAAACTCTTCTCCCTGTGTTTATAGGAACTGCCAGCTCCCATCAGCACCTTTCTTTTCCGTCACTAGGGAACACCAGTGCCTCCTTTCTAGTAGAAGTTCTTTTTTGTTTCTTTTTTGTTTCTGTTTTCACTCAGCATTTGGTAAAGTCTACATAGTAAATGAAGAGTGTTCTGTTATTTTTTAAATATCAAAACTATAAAATACTGTCTCATTTATGGTATTGCAACTTAGCGCCAGGGGATCATTTTTTGTTTTTGTTGAGTTTTTATTTGGGTTTTTTTGGCGGTATGGGATTTGAACTCAGGGCCTAGGTTCTACCTCTTGAGCCATACCACCAGCACAACCAGGGGATCTTAGCCAGCACATACTTCAGGTTATTCAGCCCATGGAACCACAAGCTGCATCCCAGATGGAAAAGTCACCCAGAAAAATGGCAATGTCTTAGCTCTGTGTTGTAGTTACAGTGGTGATGTGGAAGAAACAGCTCCGTATTGAGTTGGAGTGAGAAAAACCCAGAGACATTTTGGTGGGAGAACTATGAAAGACTAAACTTTTCTTACCCACCTGGTGACTTCCAGAGCGTGTATAGTTTGAAGGAACAAAAAAGAAAAGGAAAAAAAAAAATCTAACGAGCTCACAACTTCATAAGAGGCCCAAGAGATAAACTGACGCTATGTCCCGTGTTCACTATGGTTATGAATTGGTGCAATCCAAGTCTGGTATGAGCTGTGGTGCTAACCCAAACCTTGGGTTTAAGAGGTTATTTCCAAATGAGGAAAGAGCGTTTTTAGCAAAGCAATTTACCATCTCAGAAGACCCTGTGAGGGTCTGAAAACAAGAGAAGCCTGAGAACACTAGAACTGCAATCACAATTTTATTTTGGGCCCTTTCTGGAGCTTTTTAAGTTACTGCTTAGTCTGGTGACCTGGTTTATAAATGTCATTTAATCTTCCCTTTCTTGTCAGCACAGAGAGGAAGGAAGGAAGCTGAGTGATATGTTTGTGAGACCATGAAGCCAGCCTCTACAAGGCTCCTTATCCACAACAAATTGTGAATTACATGTCCTGTTTTCATCTAAACAATGATAGTATATAATTTTTATTTCACATTTCTCTTTATGAGGAGGTTTGTGTTCTGATTCTATAGTGGTCATTGAAAATTCTATTCAAAACACTATATCTGCAGTTTCTATGAAACATTTTAAGGTGGCCTCTAAGCTTTCTTAAAGGATTGGGTACTCCATGCACCTCATTTCTGTGAGCAGTAGTTGGGTTGGGTTGGGGGAAAGCTTTGGGCATACTACGAATACTGTTCAGGGAAATAGTCATCAACTTTTGCTTACTTTGTCCTGTAGCACATTGCACAGGACAAATTGCCACTAAATCAGATGAAATGTTAATACTGTTAGTATGAGAGGAATAGCATCTATAATACAAAATAAAGTGTTCACAGATTTTGTCATGTCTACACCTGAATGTATTATTTAAAGCAATTCAATTTTTTTTTCTTGGCTGTACTGGGGTTTGAACTCAAGGATTTCATGATTGTGAGGCAGGCACTCTGCCACTTCAGCTACGCCTCCAGTACTTTTGGCTCTGGTTATTTTGGAGCTAGGCTGTCACTTTTTGCCCAGGCCAGCCTGGATCACAATCCTATTTTATGCCTCCCACCATCACTGGGGTGACAGGTGCACATCACTATACTCACTGTCAGTTGAGGTGGGGGTCTCACAAGCTTTTTGTCCAGGCTGTTGTCCAACTGCCATCCTCCTGATCTCAGCCTCCCAAGTAGCTAGGATTAAAGGCATGATCCACAGGTACCTGGCAATTCAATTTCTAAAAATCTTCCTAAACAGAGCTGGGCACTAGTGGCTCATACCTGTGGCACTAGCTACTTGGGAGGCTGAGATCAGAAGGATCACAACTCAAGGATAGCCTGGGCAAATAGTTCATGAGACTACGATCTCCAAAATAACTGAGCAAAATGGACTGGCATTATGGTTCAAGTGGTAGAGTGCCTGCTTTGCAAACACACAGTCCTGAGTTCAAACTCTGGTCCCACAGAAAAAACAAAACAAACTTCCTAAACAAGGTTATGAAATCACAGGTTCAATGTGTTATATATATATTTCTCAACTAATATCTCTCCTCTCCCTCTCTTTCTCTCTCTCTCTCTCTCTCTCCACCCACCCCCCACCTGCCTCAGTCTCCCAAGCAGCTGGTAGACCCAGGCACACACCACTGCACCCACAATATGTTTCTGAAATGAAAGCCTAATAACTGAAATCACCATGCATACCAGTAATACATCTGACACATTATCAGTCATCAGAAAGTACTACCCTACTCAGAGACTGAAGCATGGGGCTTAACCTGCTTCTGCCCACAGGATCTTAGGCAAGTTTGTCACCTTTATCAAGCTCAGCTTAGCCATTAAAAGAATGACACTCCACCAAACAACTACTGGAAGAAAATACGGAGATACAGAGGGAAAACTCTATTTCCATGTCTGTTATTCTAGACTGATTTTTTGGATGTAACCCCAAAAGAAAAGGGGACAGCAGAATAAAGAGACAACTTACAGTATGGGAGGAAATATTTGCAAGGCATAAATCTGATAAGGGTTAATATCCAAAATATGTAAGGAACTCAGCTGAATAGCAAGAAAATGAAACAATAAATGGGGAAAGTTCCTGAAAAGACAGTCTCAAAAAAAGAGGACAGGACTGTAAAATAAGTCCTTTGAGGTAGTGTGTACTTGCAGGAGAGGGGAGGGTGAATAGGATCAGTCAATACACTTTATATGCTTACATGAAATAGAACAGTGAAACCTTTTGCAATCATTTTAAGTAGGGGAGTGGGATGAGGGAGATGGTAGAGGTGAAGCTAAGCAATGTACAATATAAGCATATTCAGAAATGTCACAGTGAATCCCCTCTGTATGACTAATAATAAAAATGTTCTGAGAAAAAAAGAATTCTTTTTTCAATCTTAACAGTATGTATTTATCCTTCATTTATATATATACAAAATATTTGTAATAAAATATCTACAAAGTTTGAATATAACAAAAAATTTTGATCATTTGCACCACACAGTGGAATTATTAGATGAGTATCAGTAACTAATGATAGTATGACTAAAATAGAAAATTCTAAACAGAAGAACTGTGCTTTCTTTTTGAACAATGCATGTAAATATTTGCAAATTCTTTTTTTTCATTCTACTGGGGCACATTGTGACATTTACCGAAGTTTTTACAATATGTCATTGTTGAATTCACCCCCTACATCCATGCAAATGGCCAACAAGTACATGAAAAAGTGCTCAGTATCACTAATCGTCAGGGAAATGCCAACTAAACCACAATGAGACATCACCTCACATCTACTAGAATGGCTGTAATCAAAAAAAATAATAATGGTACCGGGCACCACTTGCTCAGGCCTATAATCCTCAGGAGGCAAAGAGGAGGATGTGAGGGAAATGAGGGAGGAGGTGAGGAAAGGGGCAGGAGGGCAAATACAGTGCAAAAAAAGTGTACACATGTAAGTAAATGCAGAAACAATACCTGTT